CAAGATTGAAATCATACAGCTCTTTTCCAAATTTCTTTATCATTCTGTGAAATAATAAATCTAAATTTCATGCCTATTGAGACACTTTTATCTTTTTTTGAATCTTTGGCTTGTTTTTTTAATGATTTTTTTTTCTGGAAAGAGCTCGGATCCATTATTATAATATCATATTTACGGTGAATATTAAAAAAATTCTTCAAATATCTCCAGCCCACTTTTCTGTCACTTCATTGTCATTTGCTCCCTTACCTTAGGTTTTTGAGATCTGCAATCCTAATTATTTTATTTGTTAAATGCATATGCCACCCTTCTTATAAAGCAATCAAATGTAGTTTGTGCATAGGAAATATGATTTTGACCGTACCCTTCATAAGCATGGCAAAATGTGAAATTGAAATAATGGGAAATTTATACTTTTTATTTTAAAAATGCATCCTTTAATTTTAAATGGTTCTAAAGGAATCAATGGAACAAAGCTTAATTTGTTTTGTTTAATATGAGGTTTTACTTTGGACAGTTTCAGACATTTCATCTTGACATCAAGTTAGTAAACTTGCTTTAAAAAAATAATAGCTCAAGTAAAATTAATGAATTTCTGTTGTCAACATTCATGTTGTACATTGAAAGATCTGGATTCTTTGTAATATTTTCCATAAATAGTACATATGTTGCAAAATCAAGAGTCTAAATTGTCCTAGTAGATGAGCCCCTTAAATATAAGCCGGCAGTGTATTGCAGCCACCAAAAAAGCCAACACATTCCTAGGCTGCATTAACAAAGAGATAGAATCAAGATCATGTGAAGTGTTAATACCACTTTATAATGTCTTGGTAAGACCACAGTAGTTACACTGCATCCAGTTTTGATTGCCACGATATAAAAAAGATGTTGAGATTCTAGAAAGGAGAGGAGAGCAACCAAAATGATTAGATTACTGGAGGCTAAAATGTATGAGGCTTGTTTGCACGAATTGGATATGTCCAGTTTAGCGGTTTCCAATCCCCTGTGGGCTATATCCGGCTTTCCGGAAGGTTCTTTCCAGCTCGCCAGCTCCTCCAATGTTTTGAACTCCAATTCTTTCAAAACAACACAGGCCAAAAGAGCAGGTTGTATTCATCACTGTTTTGAAAGGAAAGTTGGATTCTCGCGATTTCTTTGATTGGGTGGTGATGGTGAGCCAGCTGGAGGGTTCCTGGACAAGGAAGGGGGAGCATCAAATTTGTGCTAACTTTGAGCCAGCTGGAAGGTTGCTTCCTTTGCTGGAGGGAGTGATTCAAGGGGCTTCCTTGTCTCATTCCCCCTTCCTCCATTTACAAAGAAAGTCTCTTCAGAAATGGGTCAGGGTCACCTGGATGAGAAACGAGGAAGAGGAAGCTGGCTAGAGAGTTATTTCTTTAGCCTGCGAGTGCACGGAGGAGTGATTTCCACTAATTAGGCATTGGCCTGATCCAGGATGGCTTTTCTCTGTTTTTATGTTTGCTAATGTTTGATATTACATCATTTATCCATATCAGCATGGCATTGTTTCTTCGTAGCTGTCACATTTCTTTTTGCTGTTGCTCTGAGTCATATCGCATTATGCAAAATCATTCAGTAAAATTTTATTCGCTCATTTCTAAAATTGATTCCCACTCCCCACCCCATCCCAGCCCTTGAATATTTGCAAATATCCAATGTGGTCCTCAGACTGAAAAGTTTGAAGACTTCTGGTCTGGCTTAATAAAAAGAAAGACTGGGCTGACATAATAACAGTGTTCCAATAAAATTATAGAGAAGGCCAATGTATTCTACAAAGCACCTGAAGCCAGAGCAAGAACTAATGGATGGAAACTAATCAAAGAGAGATCCAGCCTAGAACTAAGGAGAAATTTATTGACGGTGAGAACAATGAGTGGAACAGCTTGTCTTCAAAAGTTGTGAGCACTTCATCAATGGAGGCTTTTAAGAAAAGATTGGACCCCCATTTGTCTGAAATAATTTAGGTCTCCTGCTTGGGCAAGGGGGTTGGTTGGACTAGAAAACCTCCAAGGCCCCTTCCAGCTCTATTGTTCTGTTCTGTTCTGTTCTGTTTTAAACAAGGACACTTTTTTCCCCCAAAAAAGTCAAAAGATGGTCATGAAGTCGCAAAGATCTTACACAGTTTGAATGCTTATCCATGACCACTACCCCTTTTTCTAAAAGAAAAATATTATTTTAACAGTATGTGCAGAGTTTTAGAACTTTGGTAAGAATTACCTTCTATTTAAAAGAGAACAAAGATGCAGAAGAAGAAAAGAATGTAAGTGAAAGAATGGATGTTCCCATTCCCTATGTGTTCTGGACCTATACTTTGAAGCTAATTGCTTCAATCACTCCAACCAGTAATGGAAAAGAGATGCTTTCCCTAGTTTAATAGATGTTTAAGACACATAATTGCTTCGGACCAATTTAAACTCCTTGGTTAAGAAGTCTTCATTATATATATATTTTATATGGTAGAACCATTCAGCAATTTAGTTTAAGCTGTATGAACCCAGACAGTTTAGCAATATAATATAGTATTGCCTCAGCTTATTTTATTGTTTTGTTTTGTTTTATTATTATTTTGTTTTTTATTTTATTTTATTTACCAATAAATCCATTTTTTAGCCTCTTCTGTAAAATCTATTGGGTTTTTTGGGGATTATAGTATTTTAAGAATCATTTTCAAATATTTCCAATTCAGTTATTCCATACATAAAAAAATGATTGGCACTAAATATGTTTCTGTAAAATTTGAGAAAATATACTTGTTTCAAATCTACATTTGGGGATGCTGAGATGCCATTTAATATTATTTCTGAATATTTTTCCAAATGGTGCTACCTAATGTGAATAAATGGAAAACATTTAAAGGAGGAGTTCAAACCTATAGGAACTTTCCAAACTAGAGCTGAGACCTGTCCAGATGTATTCATATAATGTATGCTGGAGTTCAGCATTCTTGGACGGTAGATATGGTATAGGCACTTTGAAGCGAATCTATTGAACGTTTCTACTGTAAGATTCTCTTCACTTTATTCAGAATTATTACTTTTTTTTTTAAAGAGCAGGAATAGTGCATGAAAGGATAAACATGAAGAGATATACTATGAAAGCAGAATAACTTGATTTTTGATTGAGCTTGGAATAGTTTTTCTATACTAGATCTTGTATTCAAGCTAATGGGAAATATAATTCTTCAACCCGTGCACGTATATTTAAGGCAAGGAAATTTGTGATGTTAGCCAATCCTGTTTTGTTCATAGAATTAAAGAGCTGGCTGTAACACATCCTGTTTACTTTGTTCTTTAGACTTTTTAATACATTGTGAAATAGGAAGGGAAGAAGAAGTCTTTCTGTGCTCAGGACTCAGATATGGAGTGTTCAAAGAGATTTCATATTTGCTGTATATATTTTGTATACTCTAGGACAGGGGTCTCCAACCTTGGCAACTTTAAGCCTGGAGTACTTCAACTCCCAGAATTTCCCAGCCAGCTTTGCTGGAAGACTCCTGCTCTAGGAGACATAGCATTGGGAACTGTCAAATCAATGACTTCAACATTTTCCCTCTTGTTTCAGGCCCAAAGCACAGTATGTGTTTATGCAAGTAGGGAGTTTGGGGGTTCAGGGAAGACTAGTTGTGTTTAATCATATAAAATAATGAGAAGATGCTAGCACTTTGTGTCATGGCCCTGTCAGAATCTGATTCGGAGGGGGAGGCCAAGCAGCTTACAGAGAGTGGGAGTGTGGCTTTGTTGGCTATGGAGGAAACAAGGGAAGGGCAAAGGCCGGCTGGGCAGAGCAGGTGAGAGGTAGAGCAAGGGAGAGGGAATTCAGAAGAGAGCCAGGCCCACCCCTTTTTTTCCTAGGGCATGCAGGGAGGAACAGAGAAGGGAGCAACATGAGTTGCATGGCTTACGTAGGAGGAAAGGGCCCTGATTCCCTTCATTAGCTGAAGCTGGGAACACAGTGTTCTATCAAAATGTAAATAATGCATACAAGTTTTTTTGAGTTTTCAGTGTGAATAATCTAACATCCTTTGGAACTTTACCATGTGCAATACAAACCAAGGAAGTAAGTGTTCAGTAGTAAAAAAAATTAAGCTTCATACTACTAGTTATTGGAAGAAATATATATTAATCTGTCTTTTAATTATCTCTTCCTTAGCTTACTTTATCTTTTTATTGTGCCAGGTAAAAGTCAAGTCAAAACTCTTTTTGGTTAAATTTGGTATTGGAATAGGATTAACATTTTCTCTCGACTGATCATTAGGTTTGAATGTTTTGGACAAGTCAAAAAACATACCTTGTTGGAGTCTTCCTTGAAATTCTTCTCTGAAGAGACCTGCCTGCTTCCTGCTTCCATATATAGTGTTTTAGGGCAACTAGGAGAGGGATAGTGTTGAAGCCATTGTTTCGGCAGGTGCTATTACTATGTCTCCTGTGTTAAACAAGTGGCAGCTACGTAGGAGCTTCACCATAGTCCTTTGATGAAATTGAAGCAGCAATTCTAGATCCAGATATCCCATCCTGCAAAGGAAGTGGGTAGGTTGATAGGAAGAGGCTGAACAGGTTTTGGGGCAAGAATAAATTGCATAATTAGCAGTCAGGTAAATTGGACATGTATCCAAATAGTCATCCAGGTGTGGATGCTGCTCTCACCACCATTGCTTTCAGGATGGTTTCCTGGTTTGCATCATATTTATATAAAAAGGTAACTATGATTGGCCTAGGTAATATGGGTTATTTATTTAATTGCCCAATGATTTGCATAAATAAATGTGGGTTCCCCCCCCCTCTTCTGGTTGGATTGTGTCAGTGATGTGTGATTATGGGATATGAAAAGGGATTAAAAGATTTTAAAAATATGTCTTTCAGTTAATGGAACTAATTTTCAAGTACTGCCATAATATTTAAAAATCAGCAGAATGCTTTACCTAGAACATAGATTATAGTACCTTTTGTTTGTCTGTATGATAATATGGATTATTTTATTTCTAGATTCTTGGGAGAAAGATGGATGAGCGCTTACCAGAACAGCACAATAGTCTAAGGATGGTCAACCTATCAAAGACTGATAATGAATCTTCCAACTTACCGAGCGTTGAAAAAGCTGACAAAAAGTATGATATTCAGGATGATGTACATATTGCAGACACAAGATGTGAGAAAAGCACTTTAAGCATAGAAAGCAAAGAGTTAATACTGGATCCCACCTCACCATCTATTGATTTAAATGAAGATGGAGATGTAATTGAAGCACAGTCTGCTCCTAATTTTAATGGAGTCTGCTCTGAGTTGAAAGTAAAAGAATCTAAGGAAGCAGATTGCTTGCCCAGTGGACAAGGTGAACAACAGGCTTTGAAAACTGAGGACAAAAATCAATCCTTGACAGATCTATTTCAAGATGACATGAAAAGACCTTATGGGGTCTGTTCAGAGAGCCCATATGACACAGATTACACTAAAAACCTTATCTCAAATCTAGAGAATGCTTCCTCTCAGGAGGCTTTGCTAGAAGAAATTGAATCTGAGCTCCTGTCAACAGATTTGTTGAAAAATCCTACACTTTCAAATGGAATGTGCAATACCAAGGCTACTTTGGCTGTGTTTGAAAAATGCATTCAAGATAAATATTTACAGCAAGAGCACATAATAAAGAAGTAAGTACTGCATTAATACCTGCCTCTTAAACATTTTTGTGATCTGTAATAGATTTAAAGTTTTGTCTGTATAACTATAATGTTATGATCATACTGAAACTGACAGTTGGACAAATATTTTTGAAATTTTGAGATCTAGGAATCCCTTAAGGTAACTCTTTGGGAATGTGAAAGCCAAGCTGCTTCTTAATCTGTAAAAATTGGGCAATGTCAGCCCAATTTCTGTGTTAGTAATATTTTTCAGTGTAATTTTTGCTGATCAGATACTTTACATTGAAAAGTGAAATGAAGAACCTTCCATTATCAAGCATTTCCTTTGCTGTGATGGGATCCTAAGTACTTGGTTAAGAAATAAATTGTAGTCTAAAACAACAAAGGTTGCCTAGAATTATGAAGCGCAACTGCTAAGCTGCATTGTTATAGGATGGGGCAATTAGTGTAACATAGTACATATATGTTTACATTAACCTTGAATTAAGGTTATATAGGTATAATTAGCTATACAAGATGAACTTACAATAAAAAGGACAACCAGAAAGAATTTAGTTTAACATTTCATTTCATGAAATGAAGCCCTTTGCAAAGTCACCATTGTATCTTGTTTTATGTTTGACAAAAGTTGCAGTTGTCCCTGGAGCTTCATAGCTAATTCTTAACTATGAAATTATCTTTATCCAAAGGTTGATATGATCCTGTAGAAACCTAGAAGTAAACACAACAGTTGCTAAAGCATAGCAACCAAAAGATAAAACACAACACACAGTCTATTAGAAGCATTTATTGTTGCTTAGTAGCATATGCACAGTCAACTGAAATCTATAATGATTGTACATTTTTAGACATGGTTGCAATTTAAAATAGAGATAATAAATGGATATTGCGATTCCCTATGAGCGTGTACTTCATGAATTTTTCAAGGAAATTGGATCCAAGAAGATCCAATTTATTTTTATATCTTAGATTTGACTTAGCCATCTTGAGTCATATATTGAGTGGTAGGTATATAAATTCATTAAATATAAAAAAATGTTCCTAGGTTAATCAAATGTATTGCTACTTTCACCTGAAGCACTTTGCAGAGCCCGGATAGTGAACTTGAAAACTTTTTATTAGACTTATCAAAGTGTAAAATATAAATGAAAATAGTGCAAAAATGGGGAAAGGAAACAGGGAAAGAAAGATCTAGGCTAAAGGGGGAAAAAAGAAAGAACAGACTTTTAGTGCAGTAGTATAATATAAAAATATTACAGCTTCAACTTTTTACTTTTACATACTTAATGTGTACTAGCCATTCTATAACAACAAACTTATGTAATGAGCAGAACCCAAAGTCAACCCAGATAGTGAACTTTTGAGAAGCAATGCAGGATCTTGCTTCCTTTTTTTTTTCTTTTTCTTTTGTGGTCTTCTAGTTTAATCTTTCGGATATATTTCTAAACACATTAGTTTTGCCATGAATGTAGCTATACTAGATGCCCAGTTGGTTGTTTATATGGCTATCTAGCTTTTTCTGTCCAGACAATTCCTTTAATGTATAGGTAGTGTTACGATCACAATTGAGCCCAAAATTTATGTTGTTAAGTGAAACATTTGTTAAGTGAATTTTACCCCATTTTACAAGTTTTCATGCCCCACTTCTTATGTGAATCACTGCATTTGTTAACTTTTTGTTTTGTTCTCTTAAAAGTAATTGAATCTAAAAGGTAACTTTGGTGTGAAGATAGCAATTAAACCGGGTTCTTAATTTCCTCTGAATGTGGCTTTCTTCTAAAAGATGTTTTGTTGTCAGACTAAGTAACATCATCAGCACTCCGACATAGGAGAGATGCAGTGCGTCCTACCAGCCTTGTGTGGGTTTGGGCAGGATCAGTGGTATTGTTTCTTCTTTGATTGGCAAGCTATTATCTGGTGCTTGTTGTAATTAGATACTGGTTCCATACTTATCTTGGGTGTTGGTTAATGAGGATGTGTTCTGGACCATCTGGCCCTTCCTTTGAGCTGCTGTTGTTGCTTTTGAATTTTGAAAAAAAAATTCTATATGCCTGTTAATTGTGAGTTTGTCAGAACGCCAAGCTTCTAAGAATTCTCTTGCATAGAATTGAATTCACAAGACAGGAAGGAAACAGTGACATACTACCCTTCCTAGACATACTCATAAACAGAGAACATAATGGTAACTGTAAGACCAAGTGCATCATCAAGCAACCCCATTTTACCTACAGCACAGAAAATTTCATAACAACCCTCTTTAGCTTACCAAAAATGATTGTGGTAACACAGAAGTCCAGGGACGAAAAATAGTTTACCTATGCAACATGCTTCAATTAAATGGACACCCTTCAACTTCATTAAAAAAAATGCCAATTTATGCAACCAACCAGAATGCTTTTCATTGAAGGTTACAGTTGGGTTTCTGTTTTTAGAGACTAGGTCTTCTTAACTAGGCCTTTTTATCAGGCCATTTCAACTTATGGGAGCTTAATTGTATTTTATTGCTTTTGGGGAAGGCACCATATATATTAAATAAATCTCTTGGTCTGTGTTGCAATTTCAAATAGGGTAAGAAGGTTGTGTTCACTACTATTTACATTGCCTGATCAATTATTTTAATTGTTTTAATGGATAGATTGATTAAAGAAAACAAGAAGCATCAGGAACTAATTTTGGACATTTGTTCAGAAAAAGACAACTTAAAGGATGAGTTGAAGAAGAGAACAGAAACTGAAAAGCAACATCTCAATATAATTAGACAGGTAAGAGTTTTATGCTGATCCAAGTTTCCTTAGGAAACATAGTGTATTTCTATTTGTAGTCCTAAATTGGTCTTCAGACAATTAGATTTCAGATTAGTCTTTCCGCAGTCTAAGATAATTTTTTTTTCCTGATAGACTAAATTGCAGTGATTTTTTTCTTCAGTTGCAGAGCAGGGTTTTCTGAAAGGAAAGGAAGTGACAATTTATCACTTTCAAGTCTTGCTGGACCACATTTAAAATGATATTTTTATGTTTTATTACTTTCTCTTCCCATATTGCATGTAAATGTTTCTTTGCTTTCTAATTGGAAGTTCTGAAATTTCTACTTCAGCCTAGATCAGCGGTGGGATTCAAAAAATTTTACTACCGGTTCTTTGGGCGTGGCTTGGTAGGCATGGCAGGGGAAAGATACTGTAAAATCTCTAGGTGATATTTGCTGGTTCTCTGAACTATTTAAAATTTCCGCTACCGGTTCTCCAGAACTGGTCAGAACCTGCTGAATACTACATCTGGCCTAGATCCTATATAGATATTCAACCTGTTCCAAAACTATTGTTTTTAAAAAAATATAATTTATTGCTCAATAAGTTATTCTGTAGAATTTGTCAGATTCTTCTTGGTATGTCGGGCTCCTGTTTTTAAATTCTTATGTTAAACTTTTTTTCTAAGGTACAGAAATGCAGAAATTATGGCTTCTAATGTGTCAGTTTTTAAGACCTTTCTTCAAGTTTTACATTTTATATAATTTACATATACCTATACATACTAGTATTTGTTTTTCCTTTACAGTTGGAAGTGAGAATAGAAGACCTCCAGAAAGAAGCTAAAACAGTTAAAGATAAACTTGTATCTCAGGATGCTGCTGCAAAAATTGCTATACAGCAACTGCACAAAGAGATGGCCTTTCGTACAGATCAGGTAATTAATCAGGTGATAATTTCCTAGCTTAAGGAAAGCTATTTTGCCCCATCACATGTTTATGTTGTGTATTCCAGAGTTCCCCAGAATTTCTGGGTTGGAGTCCCGGGGGGGAGACAGGCACTTTTATGCGTGCATGCGCTCATGCTAATGGGGCTTTGAGTGTGCTAATCACAAATGGGTCCTGAGCATGTGCGTGATGCAAAATGGCCTATGAGCATGTGCGCGACTCTAGTGCGAGTGAGGTGTGCATGTGCAACACGCACTGGCCAGCCACTCATATGGTCCAGTGGCCAACAGACCAAGGTCTTGTAGTGGGCCTAACCCTGATCCACAGGTTGGGGACTCCTGTCCTATTCTAACTTTGCTTGGAGCCAAGTTAATAGAAACAAGTTCCTCTCAATTTTCTGTAGAAAACTATGTATTTTGTAGTCCTTCAATTGGTTTTTTTTTTTTTTAACTTTCCTTGGAGGCAAAAACAAATATTGCTCTAATGTCTAAAGGTAAACTTGTAATATTTGATATTCTAAGGCAAACAAAAAATGTGAAGAAGCCCGTCAAGAAAAGGAAGCTATGGTCATGAAGTATGTTAGAGGAGAAAAGGAGTCTTTGGACCTCAGGAAGGAAAAGGAAATCCTTGAAAGAAAACTGAGAGATGCAAACAAAGATATTGAAAAGCATACTAACAAAATCAAGCAGCTTTCCCAGGAAAAAGCAAGATTGCACCAACTATTTGAAAGCAAGGTATGCTATTTGCATTGGCGTTCTTTTGGTTGTCACCTTGAATACCAAAAACTAGGCCAAAAATGATGATACCGTGTAGTGTTTCTTGCACATGATATGCTGAAAGGGGGTACAATAAAATGAAGCAGACGAGAAATGTTTCGGCATATATATTGTATCTATATCTGTGATAAGATGGATTCTTTTAGGGAGACTTAAAGAAAACAATTACTATGAATGGAGGAGCTTGCCTAAACACAGACTGATTCCTATGAATTGATATGCTCTACCACAGAACTACTGATTACCAGAATTCAAGCCATGGGGATATTTTTAAAGAAAGCTGTGGGATTCAAATATCTGCCACTTGAGCCTTCCTAAACTTGTAAGATGCTGGCTTTATATCTGTCCATCTGCCAAGAATACTTAACCATCCACCTACCTACCTATCTATTTGCCATTAAAAGAATCTCAGGAGAAGAGCAGAAAGTTCATTATAGCAAGCTGGCAGCCAGGTATAAAATACCCACAATCTTCAAGCATATTGACATTTATGATATTATACTGCTTATCTTGATTTATGCAAATAAATGATGTTCTCAAATTGTGTGTTTCTATCTGTATTTTAATTTGTCTTAATTTATGGAAAAAGGAACTAAGTCTAGCTACCTATAAAATATTGCTGGCAATAAGACCCTATTGTTCTTTATATGTCATGTAAATTAGAATATAGTTTTCCTGATCCTCTTAATTTTATTCAGGTAACTTATATTTTACAGAATTTGAACTATTTTACCATAAAGCAAAGAAAGCTATGGTATTGTAAAGCGATGAGTCGGGGGGGAAAAAAAGAGTTACTTCATACTTTTCAGTATAGTCAGGAATTTGCTGCCCTCAAATGGTGAAATTTGAATTATGTGCAGTCTAAATTATGTTTAAAGGCATATTTATATGTGAGGTTAAAAGTGTTTGTGCTTCGTAAGAAAGAAAAAGCCTAACAAAGGAAAAGTCAGAAGGCAGATTTGCATAAGGAAAGACCTCCCTTCTGCCTTTGGAATATTTTTTTCAATGTAAGATTTATTTTTCTTAAAATAGGAAAAAAAAAAAAGGATTTACATCGGAGATAGTTAAAATCAAGGTCAGGAAAAAAAGAAAAATAACAAATGTTTTCATAAATTCAGATATAATAACTATTCGATTTTATTGTAACGTATGTAGCTTTGACATTAGCATCAGTTACTGAAAGAGGTGGCAAAATTGTTTTTAATTGACTATGTTCAAGCAAAGACGAAATTGCTATCTGCAGAAATGCTTTAATTCAGGGGTCCCAACCCCCAATCCATGGACCAGCTCCATGGACCAGCAGCAGACTTGGTCCACACAAACAAGTGATGCTCCAGGCAGCATACAAAACCATACCTCTTCCGGTCCATGGAAAACCTTTATCCATGGAACCGGTGCCCAAAAGGTTTAATCAACATTTATATGGTAAGTTAAACATCCACTTACAATTCTACAATTCCTTGGTTAACATTACAATATCAATTGTACATTCAAGTCCTTCCAGGAATTAATATTCCATTGTCACTAGTCCTATAGATACAGACAGGTAGGTTTCTTAAAAGTCAAGAAAATCCAATTATTTTATTATTTTGGTTAAACCATTATGATTACATTTATTGTTTGCAGAATGATAAATTAAACTTTATTAGTCCATATAGGCTCAATTAACATCAGTATTCTAAAATTATCCTTTATAAAGGAAAATGAAACCACCAGAATGTCACGAGATGTTGAAAAATTAAAAGAAGACGTCAATTCTTACATGATCAAAGTAAAATGGGCTCAAAACAAATTAAAGGCTGAAGTGGATTTACACAAGGTCAGTATAAAATATCTATAAGGGTTTTAAGAACATTTGCTTTTCTAGGAATTTCTTGTCTAGTTTCTTTATTTAATGTTTACATTTGTAAATAAACTGAATAGATACACAACTTTTGGGGGGAACTTGCGTCTCTTTGGCCCTTTTAAAATAAAATAAAGATACTTGAAAATAAGATAATTTAAACATTTTGATTGTATTAATATCCATGCATTTATTTTTATTTTTTATCTGTGTCATTTTAAACATTCTGGACAAGAAGATAGATAATGACTGTTGAGGTAATTCCGCGTTAGGAGAATGAGCGCATACAGGGAGACGTAGTGAGAGAAGTGTTTGAATAATACACACACAGCACACAGATATACTGAATAGTTAATGTAGGTTTTTACTTTCAATAAACATAACCAAGTTCCACACACAGTCCAAGTCATTCACCGGTAAAGCAGTCAGTGTTCAGTCCAGGGATAATCCGAATATCAAAGTCCAGTATCATAAAATAGTTCAGTAACAAACTTACATCAATTCCAAGAATAAAAGTCATTTAGGAGAAAAATGGAGAAAGGGCAACTCTTTCCAACAGAAGGAAACAGAGACTCAATCACTTCACTGAGACTTCCTGAGACTAAACCCAGGTTTCTGGCTCCATCTTATGGCCATTTGCGGAACCACACCCAATTGCAGTTTTTGCATTCCCTTAAAGAGACAGTATTAAAATGTCTATCCTGGTTTATATATTTCCATCCCAAATCGCTGTTATGTGACTCACATTCCTAACAATGACAATGAAAATAAAAAATTCTACATGTACGGCATTTGGGAACTTTTCATTGGGCCCTTCTGGTCCACCATGAATTGAAATAGAATGCTATCTTTTCAGTGCAGATTTTAATTTACCAATGCTTTTTTTATTTAAATTACTGTTAGTAATTATTAAATCATTTTATAGGAAACCAAAGATCAACTTAAAGTGGCAACAGCAAAGTTAACTCAAGCCAAGGAGGAAGCTGATCAGATACGAAAGAATTGCCAAGAAATAATAAAAACATATCAGGTATGATCTAATTTCACTTTCATATAAATCTTTTCTTACAATACAGAACGGTAATAATTCTGTCTAAAACTGAAAATAATGACACATGATACACACATATCACAGTTTATATGTGATAGTACAAAAGATCATGTTAATCTAATATAGACTTGATCCCTGTGCCAAATACTTATAACAATGTCATGTGCTGTCACTAGTTCACCTTTTCTTAATATCAAATTATTTTCTTAAAATAGACAGTTTTATGTTCCACCTAAGAGAAGTCCACTTTCTGTAATTACTCAATTGTAGAAAGTATTGCATTTCTATGAAAAATCTTCATTATCTTTTTTGTATTATTAAATTTAATATTATTCAGTATTAATAATAATCAAGCTGATCTTGATTAGGAGGAGCTAAATATAATTGGCAGGAAAGCCATGCTAACTTATTTCCAGGAGGATAGTCCTCCATCACACAGATAATAAACAGATGTTCTTGATTTAACATCTGATGTTGTCTCTAAACTTGCTCACTTATTGTTGGAAATGCTGAGTGCTCAAAGCAGCTATATCTTTAATAGATCAAGATATCATTGTCTAGCCTAGAGAAAAGAAGAACTAGGGGTGACATGATAGTATTCTAATATTTGAGAGTCTGCTACAAAGAAGAGGGGGTCAAATTATTCTCCAAAGCACCTGAAGACAAGACAAGACAAGAAACAATAGTTGGAAACTATTGGAATCAAGGAGAGAAGCAGCCTGGAATTAAGGAAAAACTCCCTATCAGAATAATTAACCAGTGGAACAGCTTGCCTTCAGAAATCATGGGGCTTCATCACTGGAGGTTTTTAAGAAGAGACTGGAGAGACATTTATCTGAAATGGTATAGAGTCTCCTGTTTAAGCAGAGGGATAGAAGACCTCCAGAGTCCCTTCCAGCTTCAGCTATTCGATTCGATTCTGTCATAAATTTGCATCTAGTTGTCCTGTTTTCAATGCAATGTGCAAAAGGAATTTAGTTATTCCACAAAGTCCCACATGTTTATAATGTGAGGATGTGTGTCAGCCTCACAGGGACTTTGTAACTTTGCTTATTTCTTGCTGGTATGGAAAGCAGCTATTTGTTTCAAAGCTGACTTACTAAAACAAACAACTTTTAAGTTGACTGTAGATGAAGGAGAGATAAATAAATTGTGCAATGAATAGGTCTTATGATGGATATTTTAATGTATAAATTACATCATCAAGATAGTTGAGATAATATTTATATAGATATGAGCTGTGGGTGGTGCATTGGTTAGAGTAGTGCAGTACTACAGGCTACTTCTGCTGACTGCCAGCTTCCTGAAGTTTGGCAGTTCAAATCCCATCAGGCTCAAGGTTGACACAGCTTTCCGTCCTTTTGAGGTCAGTAAAATGAGGATCCAAATTGTTGGGGGCAATATGCTGACTCTCTAAACAGCTTAGAGACAGCTGTAAAGCACTGTGAAGCGGTATATAAGTCTAAGTGCTATTGCTATAGCTATATAGGGTTCTGAAGAGGGCATTTAAGTCTGCTTCCTAAGCTTATCTTTATGTTTTTTCAACTTTTCATCTGTGACACTGTTAGGAGTCTGAAGAAATTAAATCCAATGAATTGGACCTAAAACTTCGACTTACCAAAGGAGAACTGGAGAAACAATTGCAAGAGAAATCTGATCACCTAGAGGTACAGTGTATTACTTGCATCAGTTTTTGCTTTTTTGTAAAAATTAAATATTGCTGCTAGATAATGAGAAAAAGAGATCTGATAAAAATCACATCTAACAGGACGAAAGCTGAAAATCATTTCTCCAAATTAAACAGAGATATGTCTTGGGATTTTTTTCCCCCTTCCAAAGGTCCATCATGCCAAGATAAAAGAACTTGAAGATGTGAAGAGAACATTTAAGGAAGGCATGGATGAATTGCGAACATTAAGGACAAAGGTAAGAAAATGGAATTTAGCTGTAAGGAGAATGGTGATGTCAAGGATTCTTTAACATGGTTGTACATATGGTTAATTTATTTTTTGAAAATATACAGTTATGCATCTCAGCATTGTGACCCTATTGTCCTCACAAGGTAGGTTAGGTAGGTAGAGGATCATGAAAAGCAACCCTTTAGTGTAGCAGGGTTTTGAGTGCCCTAAATTACACATGAACATTGGAAGAGCAATTCTATCCAGAGTCAGAGATGGAAAGGCTCCAGAGTCGAGCCCTAAAACTACTAGAAAAGAACCTTGACAGCAAAAGCCCTTGATGGATAACCCAACAGAGATGTACTGTTGAGTGTCCTTAATGAATTGATTTTACTTAACTGTGTGCCCAGAGATGACCTAACTCAGTGTCATCTTTTGGATATCAAATACAAATTAGACAGTAGCAAATTGAAAGGCAACCCACAGTGCAAGGGTCTAATGCAGATATACTTGTTGAATAGTTAATTCTTTAAGAGTTCTTGCTTTTATAAATTAGGACCTGAAAGCATATATGAAACTATAAACTCCAAAATAGGGGTCTCCAATCTTGGCAACTTTAAGCCTTTAAGCCAACTTCAATTCTCAAAGTTGCCAAGGTTGGAGACGCCAACTCTAAAAGATTTTATCTTCTAGAATTCACATGTGGAAGAGTTAATTTTTCTATGGCAATTAAGCTACTTCTGAAATTGTAGTACAGCTATAAGGGCAATATTAAGCTTTTTTGAGTTTAAATCCAAGAGTTATCATAAAAGTGAGCCAAACTCCTCCTACAAAGTCAATGTTATAAGCAAAATTAGGGACAGTTCAAAATGTCTAATTATTGAAAAGGTATTCTGTTTTATGAGCTATTTAATTTTATGCATTCCATATAATTATCATGAATTGCTGAAGTCCCAACATATTGTAGCAACCTTCATTTCCTATTTTTTTGTTGAAAAATGTGACTTCCCTGAACAGCAGAGTCTTCAAATAACAGTTGGATAGCTTTGTGAAATATTTCAGTGTTCAAAAGCTTGACAGAATCACCATCTGCTAATGTTGATCTAATTCTTGCTATTTGAACTTTCACGGCTTCATTTTTCTTCATTATGCAAAATCAAGGGCTGGGGAGGTAAGGATGGAAGATTAGTAATCCTTTTTAAAAATGAAATCCAATTTTTAAATAAAAGTTTATGCAATAAATATGTAAATGCAAAATATTGCAGCTAACAATACAACATTGTTGGGTTAATTGCACGTTTGCCTAGTACTAGAAATACAATATTTTCACCTGCTTTATTGGGGACAGCATCTGTGATACTACTGGAGGGCTTGTTCTCTTGCAGCCATACACAACTATGAGAGAGTGCTTGCCATAAGCCTTAAGTTTCTGCCAAGGCCCAGGATATTATTTTCTTTGAACTTTTGTTTCTTCTAGAACAGGGGTGTCAAACTCAACCTGCAGGCCAGATGTGTCACATGCTGGCCATGCCCACCCTGGTTTAGCAAAAGTGGGGGGAAAGTTGTGATAGGTCACGTGACAACAACATGACTCTCTGAGTTTGACACCCCTGTTCTAGAAGAAACAGAATCCCTGTTTTAGAAGAAGTATCCACAAGATTTCCATACTTTATGGGACTGCTGTTATTCAAAAAGAAGAGTTTGTTGATTTGTTTGTTTATTCGTTCATTCATTTTTTCTAAACCATTCATCCATTGTTGATTACTTAAGGACAAGTTGAAACCCACTTCACTTATCCATTTAGTTACTTTATAATGTGAATGCATTTTCTCCAATTTGGAGGCCTAAAACCACACACACCAAAAACTCCTAACAAAGGATCATACATTTTCCCAAATGTGAATTCTTTCTTAGGTCATCATAATGATTGCATTTCATTGACAAGTCAATTGAGTTTTTCATTTCTAGAATGACCAGGTCGCATACAGTAATCCATTTTTGCTCTTGTAAAATTGAGGAGATTCAAAGCTTCCTGCTCAGTTTTAGATTAATTGTAATTTCGTGTTATGTCTGTATTATGAGCAGTAGTTAATTAAAATAGGGCACCTTATAATTGACAGCTCACATTTGGCTTCTTTTAACAAATCGAGATTTATCAGATTAACTTATTTTGTGAGATGAAAGTGCAAACTTCCAAAATAGTTCTGGAATCTCTTAGAAGAGAAAGCAGCAAATGAAAAGAAAAAAAAAAAGTAGGCTGAGTATTATCTAGCATGTCTGTTCAGCAACATTTTTTAATGTCCTGAAAAACTAATGAAATATATAAAATGCTATTTATGTTGATGAATTGCTTTGTTTCTTTATTAGGTCAAGTGTTTAGAAGATGAACGGTTGAGAACAGAAGATGAGTTATCAAAATACAGAGAACTTATTAATCGACAGAAAGCTGAGATTCATAATTTGCTGGAGAAAGTGAAAACCTTAGACCTGCTGCAGGAGCAACATCAAAGGTACAAAGGTTAAATTGTTAATTCTTTGTTTTATTTTAAACAATGGAAATATTCTTTTTTGTGGAGCATTCAATTTGAAACATTCTGTCTGGTGCAACAAAATAATTTCCACAATAATAAACAGTGATTTTTTAAAAATAAAATTAACTTAATTATGTAACTTCACGAATACCAAGCAATACTTCGTTGCAAATTTCATGTTCAAAATGATCTGATTTAACCATTTTCAAAATGCTTGAAGCAATTTGTATTTTGAATATGAAATAATTATTTTGAACACAAACCGGGATATTTCAAAGTCAGAATGCTATTGTTTAATATTTCTAAAACTTGTTGTAATGCAATGTAGCTTTGTGTTTAAATTATTGTAATGGCACGTTCAAAAGAAAAAAAATAATGTTATAGTTAGGCTAATATTAAATATAAAAATGATTTCTATTTTATATATCTTTAATTATTTAGTATTTTGTTATTTTATTTATATAAACACATATGTCTTTATTCAGGGCTACAAATTCTGGCTAGTTTAGCTATTTGAAATGATATGATCTCATTTTTGGAATAAGAAGGATAAGCATTCTCTTTTTAGTGTGTGTTTACAAGCTTAAAATGAATCATTCTTAAAAAATTAAAATCACATATCTTTTCAGTAACATTTGCAAAGATAAGTTTTATTCTATCTTATTGTGTGTATCTAAATTGATAATTTACCATAACTTCTCTGTGTATTTCATAACATATTAAATAAAGGTAACTATTATATATTTGGAGAACCATCCTAGATAGCTTATAGGTTTTATAAATGATAATTATCTGGAATGTTTCAGTGCCAACCAATTTCCCTTTGTATTTGCTATGTGTAACATAAGCATTTCTTGCCAATTAAAACTGAAACCCATTTCCACAAAATATTGTTGGTGTGCTTGTAGTTTGAAGATGGTATGTGTAACCTCCTTAGAAGTGACATTCCTGCCATCAAATACATTTTCTTTTAGCAGTTAAAACTATTTAATTGCTATGAATCACCTCATGTTCTAAGTTTCTATGACTACTTGCTTAAGTAGGTAATAAATACCTTATATTTGGAGCAGGTTTTCACATACCAAGATTTGATCCAGACTAGTATAACTGGTCTACTATTGTTCGATACATTTTCTGTTTTTATTGTCTGTTTTAAGCAAAAGAAATTAGGGTGGGATAAGGGTACTCTGCCGGTATTGTTAATGTGTTTTCAGTTGTACAATTTGTATTTGCCCAGCAGAGCTAAACCAGAAAGAGATATTTACTTGCTCGGTTTGCTCTCCATTTTACTCTTTAAAATATATATTTGATTTAGAGATGAACAAGAAATGAACTCTTGGAAGGAAGAAGTGGATAGTCTGAATACTCTGCTTAGTGACTTCCAGAAGGACATAGATGGCAGCCGGAAAAGAGAATCTGAACTGTTAGTGTTCACTGAAAAGCTAACTACGAAGAATGCCCAACTCCAGTCAGAAACCAACTCCTTACAGATGCAGCTTGATAAGCTAATCTTCATGGAGAGAGAGTCTCAGAATCAGCTGGAACTTGCTAATCAAGCAAGAGATGAATTGGTAAATTGAAGTACTAGTGAAATATTTCACTATTCTTCCATAAGCACTACCTGCAAATCCTGTGGTCTGTGGGTCAAGGAGCACATTTGGTTCCTCCTAAGTGAATTTGATCCATTTTAAATAGTTTTCACGTGAATCATAGAGTTCAGTTTTCTCCTTAACAATAGGAGCCATATCTTGCTTGCACTTCATTTCCATTTGTTCAATAAAGCATAACATGACAATAACCTTCAATTCCTATGTGGATGTAGGGAACTATGGACTGCCAATGGATAATCAATAGTTAACCTGCAAAATGCAACTTTTGCTTTTAGGGTTTAAGATATGCTTTATGATTTGCAAGATCTAGGAAGCCCTTGTTTTGAATCTCTTACCATGGGAGATTATCGCTTTAAATGACTTTAAAAGGAAGCAGCAAATAAATTTTATTCTATATAGCGTTTAGTAATTTTGTCCAACATTGGTTTAAAAGAGTCTTATTTTATTCTGTCTTATTGCTTAATTTAGTATGAATGTTTTCTGTTCTACAGCCCATACTGAAATCCTTATTAAAATGAATTAGTCATTCCTGAACCACCCTCTAAAGGTTAAATTTCTACATAACAATTATGCTTATTTTCTGCTTTTCATGATAAATCCATGTTGCTAAAAAACAAGCAAACCTCAAGGGACAATCTATTGGCCTGGAACAAATTGAGTAGGACGAGCCAGACAAATCATTTAGCAGACCAAACTTTGCAAGTTGGTCTTGAATCTCTTTTATTATTATTTTTAAAAAACAGTAGTTTAAATTATATGAAATACCTGGAAAGGAAATGCTGATTATATGTCATTTTTCAGGAAAATAAGTTGAAGAAAGAAGATGATCTCCACAGAAACAAGGTCCAGATGCTGGAGATGGAATTAGCATCTCAACAGAAATCATTTGCAGACTTGAACACCAAGGCAGAGGAATTAAAAGATGAACTCATGACGCAGAAGCGGAAGCATGCTGCAAATCTTAAAGATCTCACCAAGCAGCTTCAGCAAGGTTAACATTTCTCAAACATTGGCTACTGTGGTATTTATTTGACCTATGAATTAAATATCAGCTTTGCATCAAAGATCTTATGTTTTGTTTCATTAGCACGAAGAAAATTGGATAACCTTGAAAATGGCAGTTGTGATAAAGAAGTTAGCAGCATGGGGAGTCGTTCCAGCTCATCAGGTGAGTTATTTTTCTGGGTTTGTGAAGAAACAAAGCTATGCTAATGCTAATAAAATAAGCTACAGCTGAGAAGTCTGCCATGAAGGATACATTCTTCCCCAGCAATTGTTAAAAATTTCTTACGGTTCATGGCATGCATACTTGAATACGTAAATGTTGAATTTCTTATGAAGCCCAATCCCAAAATTAGCAGTAACTACCTGTCTTGATTTTTCCCTGAAAGCATAATGTTTCCATGATCTTCCAGATCCGGAATAATTTTATGCTAATATCTTGTGGGATAAACTTAGGCAAATTTTGAAACTTGTGTACTGTATAGCTATAAGAATGTATTAATAAATGACAATACTTTAAGTCGAAGTGGTAAATGCAAATCATTTCAAAATTGCTTATGTATATAATGTATTATACTTATATGCCATTTGTACACTTCAATTTTCTATACTTGATTCACCTACACATTGTTGTGATGAATTTTCCAATCCTAGCTAATTTTTAGCCAACAAAAACTGTAATATGTGAGCTTCCCTGCTGAGATCCCCATTACTTTATGCAATTACTGACATACCATTGCTGATATTTTAAGGGTAGCACAAGCTGACTCTGCTATATTTTCAGTTTTTTAAGAATACCATCTTCATTTTATCTGTAGGCGATTTCATACCCAAGCAATTTCTGGATGTCATAAGATTCTTTTTTCTTCTTTTGCTGACATTTAATGTTCTTTTGTTTCTTTCTGATTTCCATATCTCGGTCATTCTGCCCAAGAGTTCCACAAAAAATGAGACCCATATGTTCTTTATTGCAAAATGAATACACAAACAGAACAAATGGGAGTCAGGGAGGTCTTTAAAAACCGGCTTAGTTTGCGAATTCTGCATGAAATGTAGTTGTGGCTCTGTGAGGTGGAAAACCTAAGTAATCCTTGAAGATTTTGATCTTTCATCTCTAAGGGTTTTTTTAAATTCATCTGAATAAGATTTTGGTGATTTAAAACTACTGTCTGAAAAGTTGAATATACACAAATGAAGACTCAGTTTATGCAATACAGGTTGACCCTGTTGCTTTAAAATTTATTTTTTCTATAAAACTTTCAAGCTAAAAATAAAGTATTAGTTCTTGGTGTTGAACTTTCCAGTAATCTGTGTAATCTATAACTGGTATCAAATATTCACCTTGAAGTTCAAAGTGGTTTTGGCTGCTATTTCCAACTCTTTTTTATTTTTCTTCCCAAAATTAATTCTATTTAAAGAACTGCAAATTTAATGAATGCTGTTACTTTCTGAACAGAGACAAAACAGGAACTTCTGAAGATACACACGTGGGGGGGAGGGGAAGAATCGAAGGGATAGGTGGGAGGAGGGAGATTTTTCTTAAAACTGGACCATCCAATTAATATGCACTTGGTTTGGCAGGGTCCCTTAATGCTCGGAGCAGCAATGAAGATCGTTCACCAGAAAACACTGGCTCTTCAGTAGTAGTTGATCATTTCCCTGAAGTGGACAAAACTGTCTTGATTGAGCGGATAGTAAGACTGCAGAAAGCACATGCTCGAAAAAATGAAAAGATGGAGTTCATGGAGGATCATATCAAACAACTAGTGGAAGAAATCCGGAAAAAAACCAAGTATGTACTTCTCATTAGCTAGGAAAATAAAAAGGCACACAAAAATCCTAGTATTGCCCACAGCACATTTGGGAAGTAAAAGTTCAAATAGTGGTATCCTTTTTCCAAATAGCTCCAGGTATTTCACTGTTTATTGAATAAGGAAAAAGACACATATACTATAAAAAGGAAATTTCCATTTCCCAGCCTTATATATGAATTCAGTAAAAAGACACTGTTAATAATAAATGGAACTTGCTCTGAAATTAAATGAAGATAGCAATGATGACTAAACTGTAGAAATATAACCTTTATGTTTTGATGTATATAACATAGTCAGTGCTATTATGAAAAGGTATGTAATGGATTCTGAAAATAGTCCATAATAAACTGAATCAAAAGTAATTACTAGCTAGAAAGTCATTAGCTTGAATTTATTCCTGCTCTGTGCTTTCAATGGCTTAGTTTAGAGCTAAAGCTCTTCAAGTTCATATAAAAATATTTGTGTTAACTCTGCCATTCAATATTCTGAAGTAATTGTGTGGCTGCACGTAATTGCAATGAAATATTCAGTATGTACCCTGGCAGAATATATCATTACAAATCTCTAACTTTGTAACTGTTAATTGAAACTCACATGGTACAAAGTTCTGATACTTAAAACAATATCCAATATGGAAAAGTTTCTAAGAATTTACCGAATTAGCTCTGTGGTGATATTTTGTCATTTGCAAACAGAACACTGAACTAGCTCTTGCCATCTGGAGCTACTACTGGTAAATGATTTTTGGTAGAAATGATCACATAAGACATTTTTTACAAATCAGCTTTGTATATTAATGGTAATTCTGGAAGTATAACTTAGGCACAAACTTATTCCTTAGTTTTATATATTTTTGACTGAAAAGATACATTTTTTGAGAGTTTCATATTCTTTGCTTGCCATTGACTAGCTATGATTAAGTTACTGGAGTTTGCATGAACTGTATATCAAGTGTGAAGACCCCAGGGAATTGCAAGTGTTCTGAAATTGCATAAGGGTGATCTAGTTCAAGTTAGGAGAAAAGAAATGACCCAAGAAATGGTTGAGCAGAGGTAATTTGAATATATAAAGATGCTGAACAAAGAAAAAGTAAATGAATGATATTATGGCAGTTCACACATTACATTTTAACATATATATTATAGAAAGCTTTCTGTTAATCCTTTGGCATACTGGACCATGCAACCTGCCCAAAAAGTTGCATCCGTGTGGTGCAAAACTTTTAAGGTTCAGTGTCTAGGTTCATGCATTGCCCTGAGCCACTTTAGCCTGTGGTATCCTTTGATTTGGTTTAGGACTATCTGTGAACTCAATCTGTCTGGTTTGTAAGCCATTACATCCACAAAGTATGTCACTGTGTCTTATGTTAAACATATCCTTGTTTCTCATTTGGGATAGAGAGTTGAATTCCATAAGCATGTATACAGAGTTCCATTTTCTTTAATCAGTAGTGGTTGCCCAGGGATAAATAACAGCCTAATCCATTCTTCCAAAATTACAGTTCCCATTCTTGACATTTTCAAGAATTGTGCTCTGGGTAAAGCGTAATAAATGGATTTTGTTAGTTAAGGCTAAGAGCAATGCAAATGAATCAGAACCTTCCTAGGAGGGCCAAACTTTTCTGTGACATTGTCTTACGCTACTTCGGGTTTTTTTGCAGAATAATCCAGAGTTACATTTTGCGGGAAGAAGCTGGCACACTTTCATCTGAAGCATCGGATTTCAATAAAGTACATTTAAGTCGGCGAGGTGGGATCATGGCCTCTCTCTATACATCACACCCAGCAGACAGCGGACTCACATTAGAACTCTCTCTGGAGATAAACAGGAAACTTCAGGCAGTCCTGGAGGATACCTTATTGAAAAACATTACCTTAAAAGTGAGTATTAAAACAATGTCCCACGATACACTTAATAAAATACTGTGCACTGTTTCACAGTAGTTTTAAAATTGTAGGACAGTGAAGATTACAATAGGGACTATGCAGGAAAATGAACAATGGGTTTGTATAGCAATTTCCATTAAGAAAAAAAGACTAAAGCTACAGTAAAAGAAATTTGATTAGAATTAGGGTTTTTACTCTAAACACACTGGGAAGTAGTTTTCAGAACAGTTAGGAGAATGGTTTTAACTTTGGGTATATTGTTGCTTTAAGCAAAATGAAATAAATATATAATTAAATTATTGTATGAGATGTTTAACAAAAGAAGGAATCTTATTTATCCTAAAACTGAAGCCTCTCAGATGTGTCTTTCTGGTTAGGAAAGATGGGGATTTCCCTTCAGGAACACAAGGACTCTGTTGGGGAAATAGAATTTTATTGTGGAGACTTTAAATGTACATGTGAGAAACTCCTCACCCATTATTTCTGCTGGTAACAGGTATTCTAAGGCAATGTTGTCCTTGAAGCACTGGCCACAAATCTCTCTGTTAACATACAGGGCCCACGGCAATGTCAACAAGTTTGGACAATTTTACTCCTGTTAGAACTAGAAGTTTTAAAAAGAGAGCAAGGATAAAAGTAGGCCAATTCCGTAGTCACCAACTAGGATAGTACAAATGGGAGTTCATCTTTTAGGACTAATCTGTACTTAAACAAATCTTCTCACGACTCACTAGATTTAAGGCCAAAATGTCTATTTCAAAGCCTGACTGGAAAATGAAAGTTTCTCAATATATTTTTACAGTTTTCAGAGCCCGGTTCTTATTTATTATTTTAATGTTTTATATGGTATTTTAATTGTATGACTATAAGCCTGCTAGAATCTCCTTGGCAAGGTGATGGCATAGAAGACAAATGATAAATAAAAAAAAATAAATGTTAGTATTGAAGAGATTAGTGTTTTAGTTTAAAAGGTTATGGCTCTAGCCATTACATTTTTTACTTTCTAACTAATTGAAATAACTAATTGAAATAAGAACCAGAATCCCACTCATTAATTCCAAAGGAACATATGAAAAAGTATTATCCGATTGATGCTGAACCTTTTCATATAAGTCTTTATATGAATAAATTAAGAACTTAGATTTGACTAGGAAAGTAAGAAATTCAAATAAATTAAATCAGCTTTAATCAGGTTTTCTTTTGCTTGATGTTGTCATTTTAAATTTGCTTTTTAAAAATATATAGTATTCTGTACTATTCCATAATAATATAGTACTTTTAAGGCATCTGAAATATTTTATTTTGTTGGTGATGATTTCAACAAAATTTAAATAAGAGATTGCTTCTTTTTAAAGGAATGTTTTAAATAATAGAGATTGAATTCTTGAATCAGAAATGTAGAACAAATTAGGATTATCACGGTTAATTCAGCAGTTTTGCATGAATTAAAAATGCAGGACGTAAGTTAATACATCTTGTTGTATCTTACGCATATATGCTAGTTCAGATAATATGCTTAAATAAATTCTGAAAGTCTAGATAGCTCTATTTGAATTTAAATATTGGAAGCTCTGCTAACAATTAATTTCTGTCTTTTTTCTTCAAAGGATAACCTACAAACTCTTGGAACCGAAATAGAACGATTGATTAAGCAGCAACATGAATTAGAACAGAGGCTGAAGCAGACATAACTGAGACCAAGATCAGAAAAGGTTGTCAGTCCAACAAAGTTTTAAAAAACAAAGTTGATTGTGAACAACTTTGACTAGATCCAAATGTCTGGTTTGCTTAAACAAATGGAGACCTTGAACTTTTCTGAACATACTTCCATCCATCACTGAAATTAGTCATATCAACACTTGCAGCTTCTTCTTGTTAGAGAGAATGCAACCACTCTGCTTTGTGCAATTAAAAAAGCAACTTTTAAAAATGGACTACTGTATAAGACTGGTGCATTTGTTGTTGATACTTGTTTCGCAGAGAAAACGAGGAGAAAAAAGGCTGGCTTTTGCATGTATATTAACCCCAGTGCCTTCTAGGGCATACATCTTTTTCTCCAAATATACGTGTGTTCTTGGATATATTTAAATTTGTTATTTATAACATACATTGGGAAAGGGCTTCATAGTACACCTTCTTTTAATATACAGTTGAAAGATATGACAGGTATTTTAGCAACTTGACCAAAAACATTTTTTAAAATCCCTCAATTCCTCAAATGTGAATAATACCTTTTTTCTTTTTTAAAAAAAGATCACCTTAAAAAAAAGTTTGGGAAAATTCTGCAGTGTATAGACATAAGAGATTAAAACCGATTTTGTATATATGGGAAAACAAAATACAGAGTCATGAAGCCTTCAAATCTTGCAGATTGACTGTGCTAATTGAAATAGAAATAATAGACACGGTAATAACTTCACTTAAGCACAGGTGAAATTACATATATCTCTGCAAGTGACTGATAAGATCCCATATTGATAGGAAAAGAAAAGGGGATATGCCCAGATATTGAAGATACTGAGATCACCTCCATAACTATTTAACAATATTAGTCTAATTATACAAATAATGACAATTATTCTTTATGTCCACCATCATCATCTAGGTAATTTGGGTTGGGATAACCACATAATTTATAAAGACTATGCTGGTTACTCTGTAAGGCTTTTGTAAAAGTTATATTTATATTCTGCCTGTCTACGCCGTTGTGTGTAGCACCCAAGGCAGCTCATCCTGGCACACTTAGAAGAAGATTGCAAGAGGGCTGCCATGGGAGAACAATGAGCCAATAAATAAGGGAGCATGGCTTAAACCTGTAGATAATAGCAACTATGTCTGTACTGAGTATGAAGCAGTAAATATAGTTAAGGCTCTGAATAATGTTGGTAGAAGAGAATCAAAGATGTTATGATGATAGAAACATCTTCCATGCCTCTCACAACCCCTGGCTCTCCATGCAGTTGGTTAGGAATAAGGGGAGTTGTCATGAATGTTAACCTTGGAGAAGAGAAAGAAAGGAGGAACCAATGCAAGCTCTATATACACTTTTTTATTGCTTTGACACGCACTAGCATGTGTGTATCTATGCTTCCGAGGTGTGATAGACCGAAGCTCAAATACCCTTTTGTTCTTTCTCTGGGACCAAAGGGAAGCAATAGATTTTTAGGTATGTTAGGCAAATACTTAGCCTTTCTTTTATTAATCCCTGCTGCACTTTCAGGAAGACAGCACTTTAAATGAATCCATTGTCCGAACATTTTTTTCCCTTTTTTGCTTGGTTAAAAATAGTTGCTGTCCAAAAATGTACTATTACAGAACAACTGAATCTTATTATAATTATTTTTAAAGCAAGGTAATCAGAAAATTAAGAGTTTTTCATTTCATCAATAAAATCATCTTTCCATTTCTATTTTATTCTCCCTTGCCTGGTATATGAAAGGGAGGCAGCAACGGTTTTGAATTGCAGCGTTCCTGCGATTGTTTATTCCAAAGTACAAAACTCATTTAGCACTGTTTACATAGTTGCATGTGATGGCTCCATTCCTCTTCTCAAGTACAGAGATTTTAAGACATGCTTTGGGGACAACAACAACCAGCATCTGAGGTTAAACAAATCCCTTGTATAAACCTGTACATAGTGCTAGAGTTTGTATTTTTCTAAAAGTTGTGCTTTTCATATTTTTCTGAAAATATAACACATGTATAGCTGCAACATTACAATAAGCAAACATGCTTGCCTTCTACAATTTCAATAAGCAAACATGCTTGCCTTCTGATTTGTAATGTTAAATTGTACATTGTATCTTTAGGATTGTGGATATTGCTGTACAGAATAATTTTTAGGTTACAACTCTGTGTTGCTGAGGAAAGAACATGTGCAATGCAACTGGACTTATTGCTGGATATTTTTCTCATACTGTTTTTCTTCATGTTTAACACATTAGGTCTGAAATAATAAAAAATGAATGCCCTAAGTTAATCATACAATATTGATTTTAAGAACTGAAATTTAAGCAGCGCTTGCATGTCTAAGTATTTGTAAAAGAAGAGGTTCTCACATGTGTAGGACAGAACTATATTCATTTTCAGACTAATATATCGCCGACACTCAAAATTTTAGCCTGTGAACTAGGTTCATGTTTGTAATTATACTGAATAATGTTTAAACTGCATTCAAGCAATTCTTTTTCTTGAATAATATAGAAATCTTGTTTGAGTACAGAAAGGATTACATTGTGTGATGCAAAATGTATTGCAGTAACAGTTAATCCAAAGAAATTAGCTTTTCTAAAAAGACAGAAATAAGCCTGACATATTCTCAGTGTGAGCATGGTTGTCTTCTAAATGTTGGAAATATACAAGTTGCATCAAACCATCTTTGTCTTGGTTTAGTAACCTTGGTGTTTGTACACTCCAGTCTCACCCATTCCAAAAGAGTATATCAAATAACTTTTTTGTCAGCACCTAAACCAAAGAATATACAGACAAGTTAAAGACTGGCAATTTTTTTCTCTTCAACTTAATGTCAGGTTTTATTTACTTTTCATAATTTCCTTTGGCTTTCTTTCCCATCTCTTTTTCCCCAGTTTCTCCTGTCCTCCAGTGTATGGATTTTGGGCAAAATATTGGCAACTATGCTCTTGAGAGTTTATTTTGAAGATACATATAGGATCAAAAAACATCATTACTCTGATACTTTAGAAGCCTTGCTGATTTCATTTTCAAAAATGACCCATCTCCTTCAAACATATTTTTGCTAGACAAAGAGTAAGAAACTTGATTGGGGAAGTTTAATGAAAACGAAGTTGTTCTGGATGTTGAATCTGTTGCAATGACATTTTTTAAAAATGTCTTTATTTGCTTCGAATAGTGAACAAGTGTCAAGTTTGAATTGATATTCCATGCTAGTACTCTAAAACCTTGAATGAAGCTCAATTTTTGCTGATTTTTATGGACATGTCTGTTTTATTGTCAATAATATGAATTTGCTATTACTTCGTTCTGGGATTTTTCAAATGTATTAATTTTTCATTATAAATTTGTATCTCCTCATTGCCCCCCATACAAGAACAAGTACTGTCTACTGATACTTAGTTTTTGGATTATTCATTGCAGCACGAGCTAATACATGGCTTGGACAAACAACTTGTTAATGCTGCTTATTAGCAGTATTAAGTAAACTAAAGTGCCTTTCTTTATATTCTTTCTTCTTTATATTCAGGATAGTTAAACACCCATGGATCCATGCAGCAAACTTTTGAAACCAAACAGTAGCTAAATTGAAGAGAGTTTATTAGTGTCCAATGATCTGCGTTTCATTAGTGTTCTTTTTTAACTATTTTAGCTCACTGAATGAGGAAAAGTTGATAAACAAGTAGAATAATAGATACTATTGGATAGGTCTACAATCAGGAAAACCATGCATAATGAATGAGGTATTATATAATGAATAATGAAAAAAAATCCAATGGAAAAAGAAAAGTTTGAAAATTACTCAGACAATCTTAAAACTATTCTAAGATGGTCTAGTTTATGGATTCAACTGTCATTGTTTTGCTTGGTTTAGAATATATTTCACAAATAGCAATTCACTTAATATTATTTACTCATCAGAACTCATATCTTTGGTAATGTGATTTTAAGATGTATATTTCCTGACCACAAAAGGATTATCAGCTAAGTTCGTGTTTCTCAAATTTACCAATGTTAAGATACGTGGATTTCAACTCTCAGAATTCCACCAGTTGGCTTGGGAGTTCTGGTAGTTGAAGTCCACATGTTTTAAACAGATGATTTTGAAAAACAGTCATGAGCAAATAGATGTGTGTTAAAGAAGTTTGCAGATTTTTTTCACTATTCAGAAAGGGAGACCTACTTGAGCCATGAAGGAGGATAGGACAATCTGTTTATTATTTTGCAAAATATCTAGGCTAGATTCCTAGATTCTACTAGAATTTTCTGATTCCTAGAGATCAACAGTAAACTTGAAAAAAGATTGTATTATCAATTTGGCTTTTGAAGATGCTGTTTTGTTCTGTTAATGGAAGATAGAATGAAATATGGTATAGTAAAACAAGCAGCTATGTTCATCTCAAATTTATTTTTATTTTGTCAAGTGATTATAAGATAACACGTATAAGTATAAACAGTTATGAATACATGAAATGGATACGAATAAGAAAAAAAAGAATAGGACAAAATAATAAACAGGTAGGCACATTGGTGCGCTTATGCATGCCCTCTTATGCACTATTAACTATTATTAACTGACATACAGATATAAATCATATTGGAATCCAAATCTATTAGCTGATGAAATATGTTTTTGAAAAGAAGACTATTAACACATTTGGATTAAATGTCTTGCTTCTTTTATGTTTTCAGTTCCAGTCACATTTCCTTTACCATCTCGATAATCCCATCTTGTTTGTTAAAAGTGAGTTCACATTTGAATGCTTTGCTTTCACTCTATTTTTCTCTGATCTTGCATTACAATTGGCCATAAAAGACTTTCAGAACTTGGCTTCTGTAATTGCTGGCTTACATGCTATGAGAAGTTGCTATATGATAACACATAATCGAAGTTGGAAGGGACCTTGTAGGTCATTCTAATCCAACCCCCCACCCAAGTGGGAGACCCTACACCATTTCTGACAAATGGCAGTCCAATTTCTTCTTGAAAGTCTCAACTGATGGTGCTCCGACAACTTCCGAGGGCAAGCTGTTCCATTGGTTGATTGTTCTCACTGTCAGAAAGTTTCTCCTTGTTTCCAGGTTAAATCTCTCCTTGTTCAGTTTCCATCCATTATTCCTTGTCTGGCCTACAGGCGCTTTAGAAAATAGCTTGACCCCTTCCTCCCTGTGGCAGCCCCTCAAATATTGGAAGACCACTATCATGTCTCCCCTGGTTCTTTTCTTTACTAGACTAGCTAAGCCCAGTTCCTGCAATCGTTCGTTGTATGTTTTAGCCTCCAGTCCCCTTATCATCCTGGTTGCTCTTCTCTGTACTTTTTCTAGAGTCTCAACATCCTTTTTATAATGTGGTGACCAAAACTGGATGCAGTACTCTAGGTGTGGCCTTACTAAGGCTTTATAGAGTGGTATTAGTACTTCCCTTGATCTTGATTATATCCCTCTGTTAATACAACTTAGGATTGCATTAGCTTTTTTGGCTGCTGCTGAACACTACTGGCTCATATTTAGCTGGTTGTCCACTAAGATTCCAAGATCCCTCTCACAGTTACTGCAATTGAGCCTGTTTTACCTAGTCTATATGTATGGTTTTTCTTGCCTAAGTGTAGGACTTTACTTTTCTCTATACTTAATTTCATTTTATTAGATATGGCCCAGTGTTCTAGTCTGTCAAGTTCCATCTGAGCCTCTCTTTTTGGGTGTTAGCTATTCCTGCCAGCTTAATATCATCTGAAAATTTGGTAAATTCCCCTTCTATTCCCTCATCTAAGTCGTTAATGAAGATATTGAAGAGTACTGGGCCTAAGACAGAACCATTGCTGTGAACTTTTTTTTTTAATTACTACCTGTATGAAGACTGGAAAGAAACAGGAACAAATGTGGAACATGTCTGAACCTATCTTGTTTTTTTAAGTCAGCATTAGATTGCATGCACTTGTCAGAAATTCTTCTCAATTCTTCACAGCAAGTTATTAGTAAAACACATGGACCTTTGTAGCTGAGTGCTTTCTGACTGACATCTGAGGGCGCTTACTTTCCAAAGTGTCAAATAATGCAATAAGTACTACGTAACCTGAGAATGAAAACTTGTATCTACCTGTTGGTACATAGCGTGAGGGATCTAAAGAATGCAAAAATCTGATTCACATGATGACACAGCATTTAGTTTCACATTTGAACTTAATGGCAACTTGAGTTGATAGCACTGGAAAATACTGTGTTAAAGTAGGATGATAGTTTGACTTTGGTGTACCAAGTACCACTGCTATTAAGACATTCCTGCAAGTAATCACTTGATATTGCTAGTACAAGCCCTGATAGTTATTGTTCCTCTTACCAATAATTTCCATCCTTGAGCAAGATGCACAAAAACCAGACAAACGGGAGTCCTCTAAATTGCTTTTTTTTTTTTTGTCTTCAGAATGACTACTATAGGATATTTGGCTTCCTTGGAAGAAATGCTCTGTTTTTTGTAAAAATAACTTGTAAATTCATTCCCAAATCAAAATTATGCAAATACTATGAAGTTGGTGTTTAATGATGAGCAAAAAAAACCCCATCTTGTGAATCATAAGTTACACCCTGCTGGTAATATATACTAACAATACATGTGTTAGTTTTTAAAACAAAGCTAAAAGATCTTTCTCTTTACTGTGTATGATGCAGTTTTGTTTAATAATATACATAATTGTGTGTTGCATATATTTTAAATAAAATGCTTTAAATGAAAAATAGCCTATTATGAACAACAGTAGGTGGTGCTAAAAAACCCTGCATATCTTCTTACAAAAAAATAAGGGTGTGTGTGTGACATTTTTGCCATACCTGACAAAAGCTGCATTTTTGTTGGTGTTCTGATAGTGGATCAATGTTTAAATCCATTTGCATTACTGTGTGTATGTGTGTTATTGATACACATACAGGCATATAGTGTGTGTGAGTGTGAGTGTGTATGTGAGAGAGGAAGGCTTGGTTTAAAATATTCTATAGATATTCATATATAAAAGAAGATTCTCTGCTCTCTTCTAAAAAGTAGTTGTATATGTTGGGTTTGAAATAATAAATATGAACAAACGTGCAATAGTTTAACTTGTAACAAATCTGCTAGAAATTGACTTATTGGCTTAGCAAACAAGAGGCAGGCCACTGATGTCAATTCCAAGGTGTACTGTCAAAAGCAGTGAACGTAGCAATTTTATTTCTAATACTGCAGCTATAGCTTCTCAGATCATATCTTACCACTTTGTGGAGAATGGGAGTATTGAGCAAAAGCAGGAAG